CCCCCCCCCCCCCCCTTCATTTTTTAACTTCAATGAAAGCTTAGATTTATTTTTTATGAAAGATCAGATGGATAAACAATGCAGATTTATTTTCACAGCCTTTTTTGATTATATTTACCAAGGGTACCAACAATTCTGACCACGACTGTATACATAAAATAAAAAATAAAAAATCAATTAAACTCACACAATTAGATTTGTATGAAAGCACATACTTTGTTGTCAAAATGAGCCTAACACACAAAATAATAAGTCTGATTAGGGATAGAAAAGATCAGTTTCCAAAAGCAAACATAAAATTTGGAAAGTTGTAATTGCTGTACTCACAGTTTATGAAAATGTTAACTTCAGTTAGAAAATATTAAACATTTGTTAAATACGTTTTTCTGTTCTCATATTTAAATATCATATCATATTTATATCATAAAATATAATTAAATATAATATTCATATTTAAATATGTTCTCATATTTATTTTTATTTTTAATGGGTTTTTGTAAAGTAATTATTTTGTTATAATATTATTTTGATATGTTTGCTATTTGCAATAGTTGCTACTATTTTCCATAGTGTGATTTATGGTGAATTATATTAAAAAACTAGGGTAAGTTTGATCCTCAAGCATCACTGTAATTATTAACTAATATGGATCCCACAACAATTGTCCACGTTTTTGAATTCATAGATAATCACAAATTAGATTTCAGTGATATTTTGACCACTGAGCTAGGAAATGTCCCCGGTTGAAATCTGGTCACCTTAGCTTATATAGGCTCGTAATGATGAATTGACAGTATTGAATTAGGCTCCTCCCGAACCTATACCTTTGGAACTTCATTATGAACAAGTTTCTAACCCTGTTAAATTTCATCACAGGTTAGAATACTTGATAAACCTTAAATTAGCCTATTATTCTCTAATTATTTGCCGAGACTCACACGACTGTGGTAATTCTATAGTTGCTGTGGTAATATAACAATTATAGTAATATAAACAAATTACTTTACCCACTACTGTACTAAGTTTTCTATAGGCCTACTACAATACACTACAGTTTACTGTAGTAAAAACTAAAGCCTATACTACAGTAGGCTATGTATTACAATTTATCAGTTCACTGTAAAGTAGCATTCATTAACAAAGTGTTGTAAATACTATAATATATACCGTATAATACACTTTACTACAGTGTGGTTCAAAAACACTAGTATTTACTATAAATTACTATAGTCTTTTTTTATATGGGTTCTCAGAGAGAATTTTTCAAAAATGTCAAGCGGAGGCACGTTGTCGGTTTAGGCTACTAATTACATATTAGTTAGCTGCAGACTCTTTAACGTTAAAATTCAATTCAATTCAGTGTAGTCTACATTTAAGTGTTAATTTGAGCAACTAAACTGTTCGCTAAAGAGGCAAAATATGATGTAGGCAGAAAAGTGAAGCTAGGCCTACTCACCAACAGTAATTTTTAATTTCCTGTGCAAGATCATAGTGGTGGTGTTGATCTCCACTTTATAATCTCCAGACTGTTTCATTTGAATGTTTTTGATGGTAAGATCTCCGGTCTGATTATTCAGATGAATGTTACTCCATCCCGAATCGCCAGCGCTGTTTAATCCATTAACTTGCACGAGACCATCGCCGGTTCCAAAGTTTGTTTGTTTACATTTACTAAACGATTTTAACATTACCGTTTTAATTAAAAATGACAAACGACATGTCATTCGAAAGCTCAGAGTTTCAAGGTTCGACATTTACGACCCTATTCTCATAGCGATAACTTCATTTTAATTCGTAACGGGATTTGCCATCACTTCACAGAACACTGAAACGGGACATTCTTAAACGTTTTAGTCCAGTGACAATGACTGATGACTTCAAGCATGCTAACACCAGTGTAGTTTTCATGGCAATATTACAAAATAAACAAATAAATTCGATTTTTTTTAGTTCAAACAGTGGTAATTTAGGAAGAATATCGACATCTCTGCTTTATTTACATAATATTCCTTCGGAGTAAATTATAATTCTTTCCACATTTTCAATAAATTATGCAATCCGATGTGTATTTCAGTATTAAATCAAGTTTGATAGAGTCTTACGTACAGAATGACCCCACCCCCAGTGTTCTTTCTGCAGAGCTGATTGGTCAATCATTCAAAATATTCTAACAGCGCCACCGGCTGTTGTGACGTCCAAATATGCCGGACCCATAATATTTATTGCACACAGGAAGCCAATTTAAAGCTAATACAGTTCAGATGGATGCAAAATGCAGCCAATGTATAGATAATTACATTGGGGTTTCAGCCATATGTACATTTCCAAGCATAGCCATTTTGTAGTTAAAATAAAACCTGCATTTAGATATCTTAATTTTTGCTTTGTCTAATATATGCACCACTAATGTAACAAAAATAACTGAACAAAAACAAAAACAATGATTGTTTTCTGACAGGTTTCCAAATGCTTATCCTTCCTTTTTTATTGGTTAGAAAAACAAAGAGTTCCCTCAAACTCACTTTATTGGTTTAGTCAACGGTGCTGTGTCGGGTCACTCAAACAAATGTAACAATATTTTCAAGGCACCATAGAGTCACATGGGGAAATCAATCTTTGAATGACTTAAGCAGGGATCACAATATGATTTTGACAACAATTTTGTCAATGAAGACACATTTTCAGATTTGTATTGTTGTTGGGCAAAATCAATAGTGCTGATTACTTCTTTTGACATATGCATGAATTTTTGAATATTGTTGGGTGCACAGTGCTATTTGAACAATATAGCACAGGCATAAATCTGAAAAAAACTAAAACCAGCAGAATAAGGATGTGGAAGATTGCAGAAAATCAGGCAGAGTAAGTTTTGTCTCATATTAATGATATTTTTCAAATGTACCTTCTATAAGAGAAAAAAGCTAACATTAATTTCATTTTTAATGGAAACCCCTTGAGATTTTACTATTGAATTGGCCAGACTTGTGGCTTTCACAAATCATTGCGCTTTCAGTTGCTCTGGCACAGTTTTGTATAGTTATTCCTATATATATTATTCATAATTTATGGATCTATACATTCCAAAACATTTAGACTTCTTTTACTCTTTTTTCTATAACACTATAATGAATTCTGACTTCTGAACAGTAAACTCATAACTATCATCTCTTTAAAGAGACCACAGCTATGCATGTAGTCTAAATGGTTGATAAACTGCAGTCTTTTTAGTTTGTGTAGGTCATGTTTGGGTTTGAGCTCAGTTAGAGCGAATCGCCAGCGCTGTTTAACACAGCAATGAGGGTGCCTTGATCTCCAAACCACCGTATCACATCATCTCTCTGTATTTTAGTAACACTAGTGTGTAGAGTGACAGAATCTCCCTCCATCACTGATACTGACTCCACAACATCTGTCTCAACAACAAACACATGAGGAGAACAAACAGGAGCAGTTTAAAACAGAGATTGATTACTGCAAGCAATTTTCAAAAAATATAGTAGGGTGTGAAAGCTTGAGATTACATTGAAAATTCTTGATCTAAAATATTTTAGCATTTAAAAAATGCAAAACATTCAAACATTTTTATATAAAAATTCTGTTACCAGGTTATGTGATGTCAATAATAATATTTGGAATGAGAAAAAAAGCATGACTTTGGATACCACTGTATTTAAAATGGTGCCACCAATAATACTGTATAGATAATGTTATAAAGAAAGAAAGAAAAAGATCAATCCATCTGTCAATTAATTAATGGCTGCTTATCATGTTCTATTGGCTCTTACTCTGACCCTCGTTAATTAAATATTAAATCAGAATTTCTACACTAAGCCTAATTGTCAGTATAAAGTTCCCTGAACTCAAAATCAGTCATCAGGAAAAGATAACACAACACACCTTATGTTTTCAATTGGTAATTGGATTTTTTTTTTATTGTTTGATATTTACAAAAAACAAAGGCAGTACAATTCCACTTAATTTATCTGAATGTTCATTATTAATGGTTTTTATCTTTCTGAATTTTCAGGGACTTCTTTATAATATAATAATTATCATCATTATAGTTTACATTATTACAACAAACAAATGAGTCAATATTATGAAAAAGACTATATGTCTAGATCTATACTATTAATAATTGTGATACTGTATAGTGATGTATACGCTTTCCCAAGGATTTTTCCCTCATCCTATTTTAATTAGGCATAACACATTCATGGTTAAAAACAAACAAACAAAATTAATTAATTAATTAATTAAAAAATTTAACATTAATAATACATAAATGCATGAAATATAGTCAATTAATAAAGAGAATTGTTTTCATTTTTGTGAAAATGATCTGATTTGGTCATTTATTGGCTTTTTTATTATTATTAAATTGACATAAAAAAGAATAATATAACACACCTCACACACTTAACTTCTTTGTCAGTTGCTGACATGTTTTTATTTATTCATCTTTTTTTGAATTTACAACAAAATATTAATAGCTTATCTTTTAATTCCAATAAATAGCATTACATGTAAAACTTGGGTTACTCACCATGAACAGTAACACTGAAATTCTTGGATATTAGATGTCCACCCCCGATGTCTAGTATATAAATTCCTTCATGTTGAGATGTGATGTTTTTGATGGTGAGAGATCCAGTTTTATGGTCCAGCTCCAGTCTGCCTTCGAAACTCCTATCAGGAACATCATTTGTTGGGTTGTTGTTTTTAATTTCATATTTGTTGTTTTTAACTTCAGCTATGATGACATTATCTTCACGCATCCACTCGATTATATCATCGCTCTGTAGTTCAGAAACAGTAGTGTGTAAAGTGACTGAATCTCCCTTCATCACTGATACTGACACTGACACTTCAGCAGCACCAAACACACCTGAAGAACAAAGAGAAACAGGTGTTGCAAAGAGCGAGATCAAACTTACGCAGTAATGTTGAGTCAAAAGATGTGCCATAAGTGTTAATATCTATGACATTAAATTCTCAAACAATTTAAAGTAAGTGACAGACTTCGAGAATTGTGTGCACAAGTCTACAAAAAAAATGATATTCTTAAAAAAGTATTCTGCAACCATAAATAAGGCATTTACAATAACTACAATAAAAAAATGAGAATGATAAATTCATGGTTGTATCACCACAGAAATTAAGTACAGAAGTAAAATCACCACCATATATAACCACCAGCCTCCTGAGGTGTGAAAATATAACGTTTACAGGACAAAAACCAAGTTCGAAGTAAGAAAGTACAGTCTTTTACATGCACTTACTGGTCACACAAAGTTTAAACAACACAGTGTAGAGGCTACATTCAGCACAAATGTGAGACCAACTTTTGTATTTGTTCTACTGGTTTCAAATTGAGGCTGATATATAATGAGGTAATTATATATATATATATATATATATATAATTTTTTTGTGTGTGCAAAAAAAGTAATCATGTCACTTAATAAATTGTATTACTTAATGATATACTTATATGACATGGATTACTTAATGATGTCTTTCCTACTGTTCTGGACTTTGAATGTGTAAGTTGCATGACTGTCTGTAGAGGGACAGAAAGCTCTTAAAAAATATCTTAATTTATGTTCCAAAGCCTTACAGGAGTGGAATGACATGAGGGTGAGTAATTAACAAGTGATTTGTTTTGTTTTTTGTTTGTTTTTTGGAGGGGGGACTAACCAGGATCCAACAGGATATCTGATTCACTTGAATCTAGCCAGAAGCTATGATAGTTGGCAGTACTAGTAACACAGGTGAAGAAAGAGCTTTTTACTCATTCAAGGAATTTGTTATGGTGACAGAGGCTTCCACAGCACAAACAGAATGACAGTAAAAAGACAAGACACAGATAATAAACATAGAATAAGTAAATATTTAATAATAATTTTTATGGAAAGAACACAATACACAAAATAAACAATATATGGTATTTGTGTGTACATGAGTGTTATGTACAAATGCAAGGAAATGTAATTAAGAAGCACGGTGTGATAAATAAATGCATGTATAATGTTATTGTACAACAAATATGTTGTATTAAAATTATTTACTTGATCACTTGATTATGTATTTTGCGTATTTCAAATACTAACTACAGTCTCTCAAAGTATCTAATTACAAATTACATTTCATTTTTATTGATCAGCAAAATACAAAGTACACAATAGGCTAGGCTACGTATTTAGTCATTAAATACGTATTTCAAATACATTTAATTAAAATACTGCTGATTACCACAGTGATTCAAACCCACTCCACCTACTGTACTGTTACAACATCATTCAGTAAAGCACTTCAAAGCAAAAGCGATAATTACGAGTTTGAAAATGATGGTTTATCTCAAGGGCGTGTTTACTATTTCCGGTTTATTGAAGCAATAAACAGGATTATCACGCCTAACAATAACACTTTAATTCACATTGATAACAGCTTTATGAATAAATATGTGCTCTGTCTATAGCCCGGATTTACGGCGGGGATATCTACTAATGCGTTTGTGGTGTTGTCAGTTTTAATGTGAAATATTGATGCACAGAATATTAAAGGCCGTCAGCGCCCTCTAGTCTTCACTACTAAATACACACGTGCACAAGTTCATTAACCCAAAACATAAGCTGTCATGTGTCATTATTCACAGTGCGACTCATCACAACATCTGTTTATAGATAAGTAAATATCGTTTAAGGTTTTAGGAAACACTGGAGATATAAAATAATAATAGCAAATGCGTATTATCTGTTTCCAGTTCATTGCCTACTGAAACCGAAAGTGCTGGATTTATTAAAATAAAACCTACTCACCGTCCACGAATAATAAAACCCACAAAATTAGAGAATGGTTCCGCATTTTAACGCCGCTTCTGACCGCATCCAAACTGAATGACGGCAGTGATTCACGGTGCTGATGAGAGACTCGAGACAAACCTACCAAGTCACGTGACTTCTGCGAATAAGGACATACTACTGTCTGACGTCACACAATTTCAAAGTGTCTCAAAGGTCAAAAAGTCAAATATCTTCATAAACATATATATATATATGTACATACATATACACCTCTATGAATATCAATGAACAAACTGACACAAAGATGCTAAATCGTTTGCATATGGCAGTTTACTTATTATTTATATAATAATTCTCTTTTACATATTTTGTAAATTTAAGAGTTAAAAGGAAAAACAAACCCATCATTCCCAGTACACTCTAAAAAATGCTGGGTTAAATACAACCCAGTGCTG